AGCCTCAGCAAAGTTATAGAGACAAAAAATGAAATATCGTGCCAGTAAAAGACCGAAAGCCTGATTTTTGTAATAGTTTTTAGCCTTAAGTTCATAATCATCCTCTGTAGGTGTTGTTATATATTCAATAAATTGATTCCAATAATAAAAGAGATCGGTCAATAACCAACTATTTGCTCCTGATAAATAACTTTCAGGATTTTCTTTCAACAATTGATTCTTTCTTTCCAAAAAGTAATTAGAAACCGTTAACAATAGAAAACATGGTGGAAATTCAGTAAATCCGACATGTGAAATTGGTTTTCTACACTTTAAAACTTCAGCATGCACCTTTACAATAAAATGTAAAACAACTTTTTGCCAATTCTCCAAATTATCAATTCCACATTCGAATGGTTCCACTTCAGCACCTTTTCTCACCTCTTGATAAGTATGGTTTGCACAACGAAAGAATTGGGGTATAATTCTCTCCTCTGCATAATCCATAAATTGACAAAACTCTCTCACTTCACAATTCATCCAATTACACGAAATGGCTGTGGAAAGGTAGTAATAAATTAGAATAATCATTTTCATGCAAGCTTGTTGCTCAGTATCCGAATCATATACTTCCGAATATACTTTCAACTCATTTTCATCACATAACTTTCCTATCAATTCGTTTGGATCGAATTCGTATAATGTAATTAGTTTAGAAATATGTTTGTGTGATTCCTCAAGTTTCTCGCGAACCATGGTGAATCCTTCTGACATGTATTTTAAATTTTCATGAACAAATTGTTTAATATTTGTGAAACTGTCAGCTAAGTCTTGGATTGTGGTCCATTTGGCAAATCGAGGCATTTTTTCACAACATTAGAAGAACTAATGAACAATTTCAGATTACAAAAATGTTTGAATCCAAAGTGTTTTAGTGATCTGACAACAAATTGAGGTGAGAAACACGATTTGTTACATACTGTTCATTTTATGAAATAAACTGTATTTTATTTATTACAGTTATTTGTAATACACAGTATCTCTGCGGATGGATCTTTTATTATGAGTCTTAAACACGATAATTAGCTCGTTCCTTTTTTAGAGGTTTCAAGGGTTCTTCGCTTGGAAATTCCTTTTCTTAATTGTAACTGTTATTCATCATAGATATTATTTATTATTATTTGGATAGGAGAGTTTCACAAATGTCTTGGTCAATTTGGTTATATTTCAACAAGACTTCTAAAATGAGAATAATCTTTTTGAGGGAAGGTCTTTGGTTAGGATTCAGTCTTGTCATTTGTTGGAGGAGACCAATTAAGAGTTGTTCATTTTGATGTGAACAGTAGTAAAAGGATTTTTTTAACTTTTCCATATTTGGTGTAGTATTTAAGGAAGTTTCATTGGATGCATTGAATGGAGTTGAGGAGGAAGGGTTGATTCTTTCAGAGCTTGGAGGAGAAGCCAAGAGAGAGGAAGCAGACATTGGAGAACTTGTTTCAGAGCTTGAAATTTTGACGAAACCATCCGAATGGTGATTAATGGAAGAATTGTTGGAAGGATTATGAAGTCTTGGAGAGATTAAGTGAGGAATAGCTTCACTCTTCAATAAACTCATGTGAATTTTGGAAGCCATGATTTGATGAGTGAGTTTTTCATCTCTTGAGATTGCTTCCTCAATCGAAACATATTCGAAATTTGTTGCATTGGTTTGAATAGTTGCACTTTCTAAATTATTTCC